TGAAAAAGAAGCGGGGGCACCAGCCGGTCACAGGTTTCTTTCAGAGTGGGCATAAAACACAAAGCAGGCTTCACAAGCTCCTGCCTTTCTCAGTAATTGTCACAGTGAAAATTCAGGCGTAAATTCAGGAAAAACACATAGGATTTTAGATGAGAAATGGAGAGGGTAAAAAGAGCTAATTTAATTCTGGAGGATGCACAGGAAATCAAGGAAAGGTAACGGTTCCATATGGAACTACAGATTTAAGATAAAAATACAAAGAGGATAAACCAAAGAGAGACAAGAAATAAAATGAGCCTCACTTCAGATAGGATGTGACCAACAGCAAATATTAAATTATCAGAGAGCATCTTTTAATGAAAACAGTATGTTTTGATACATTGCACTCTAAAAAAAAACTATAGGCTTTTACACCTCTTGGTCCAAGGCACTTCTTCTAAAGTGTGAAACAATGAGCAAAGATTAAAATTAAAAATCTTGCAACTAGGTAAAACTAGCTGGAAAAAATATGCATAACACACATTTATTTTGAGATTATACACACCTGGTATGACTTTAAAACATCTTCCATGTTTTCTATTTATGCCTTATTCTATATGGTTTTAACTTGGCACATGACCACTTCCATGCATCGTGACTTTTCTTCTGAATGCAGTAACACACCTGGAACAGTTGCACTGTCAGTATCACAACAGCTTCCATCTATTCAGCTTGCAGATCCTCCCCCATTGTTTCAGACCACCTTCAGCCGAAGCAACTCTATCCCAGCTCCCGAGATCTTCACCATTCCCAGCAACTCAATCTTCCTCTTTTGACCCAGGCTGTTTTAAAGAAAAGCCCAGCTGTTTGCCAGACCCCTGTGGTAATTTTAGCAGGGGAAAACAGCCTTCCTAGTAATGTTACACATGAGTGGATGGGTAACATTCATTCCTTAGTTGTTCTATTTCCATTCCTTTGAAGCTGTACCTGGGACCAGAAGGTGAGAAAATAAGAAAGGTCTGTCACAACCCTTTCCCTGTTTTTCCATGAGGCCAAAATTATTCAAATGTTGCCTTCCAGTGCATTCTAAACCCAGAAGCTTGAGCAAAAGAGTGAAAGTTTATGAAACACTAAAATAACTTCAGTAGCACTAGAGATTTATATTGCTAGACTTAAAAAAAAAAAAAAAAAAAAAAACAGAGAGAGAAAAATAAAACCAGAAACACTTGACGGCTGCAATCACTATTAAAAAAATACAGTAGTATCTCAAAGGCATTTTCAGGTTGCTTCAGCATTGACCAGTTGCCTGGGTAACTGTACACAGGCACAGTTACAGCAGATACCCTCAGCAATGGCCTTAAAGGTATGAAAGGGTTCACCTGCGGAATTAAAGCATGCTCCCCCAGGTATGGCACACAGCTGACTGGGCACTGCTCTCTCTTCTGCTCCCTCCTCCTACCATATCTGATTTTTATTGCTCCTTCCATCCTCGGGCACCCACACCACCAGCATTTCCTCTCTTGCAGGCTCTGTTGCTAAGCAGCCTGCAGCACAGGCATGGCTCCGAGCCTGCGCTGGAGCAGGAGGCTGCAGCAGGGATGGCCCAGGAGGGCTCCCTCCACCCTGCAACAGCTTCCACCAACAGGCAGAGCAAGATGGTGCTGTAGAGAACAGCGAGTGAGACACAACAGACCTTTTCTCAGAGGTAGCTTTCACCTCCCTGCTAACACAAACCAAAAGAGACTGATGTTCAGAAATGAACTACTCTGATCTTTACATAATCCTCAGAATTTGAATTAAAATGTGCTGCAACTCCCTGCTAGCATCAGCTAGCAGGTAATATAAGCAGTAACAGGGCCCAATACCAAACACCTTCAGACCACGCATGGCTTTAGTCAAAGCTTGTCTTTTGAATTACCCTTCAAAAGAGCCTGGAAGCCAGGAACAATTTGCTGCATACACAGAGCACCAGCAGCCACTTAAAAACATGTTACCCAGCACCATACACCATGGCTGTCAGGCACAGAGTGGGACTTAAGACATTAGAAGAAAGGCCCAAGTTGAAGGGTGTTTTATCCCTTCTTACAGCTACCTGAGGTACCAGCAAGGAGCTGCAAATAAACAGCAGCCAGACTCAGGTGAGCATAGTTTTCACAGAAGGTCACAGTTTAGGCCAAGGAATATGTTACGTATGTTAAATATTTTTCTTCCCCTTGAACCCAAAATTTCATCCTGCTATTAGAAATGTAGTGTGGGTTTCTCCTTTTTTAGGTCATTCTTGAAGGGACAGGTAGTATAGCCTCTTTCAACGCCTTCTGAACACAATCAAAAGTTAGTAAGTGCAGACTAGCTAGCTGAGGATTGCATTCAGCATTAGCCAGCTGATTTCTTAGCTACAGGTAGGGGAAAAAAACCTGGCTCCTACAAGGAAACACACCAACCAATTCAGTGAGTATTCTGTTGCTGGCAGCATTAATACAAACAGCTCCTGTTTAAGAGCAGCCAGCTTTAAGTTAACATTCAAGTGTTCATTTATCACACCTTACCCCTCTAACTAAAATGAACACATTCAGGGTGGCAAATTGCAGCTTAAGGGCTTCAGCCTGGACATTAGGAAAAGCTTTACCAGAAGGGTAGTGCAGCACTGGAACATGTGCAGACACTGGTGCATCTCTCCTTCAGGACACCAGAAAAATCAACTGTCCTCCTAAACCAGAGGCTGACATTAACTTTTGCTTGGATGAGAGCTTTGAGGGTTCTTTGAAAACACAGTTTATAGAGGATGCCACACAATTCCTTTTGGAGAAGGTTACAGTGATCACTTCAGTCCATTTCATCTTCCAGCAGAACATTTTATTCTCATAAAGGACAAGGAAATATCAACCAACAGCTCAAGTAACATGACAGAGGTTAAACAAGCCCTGTTAAGCATTTTCTACTTAACATGTGAAAAAAAGAGTCTAAAGACATCTGATGTGTCCAAACTGTTCACATTAAAACTTGAGCTCATCCTTTAGCATAAGCTCAGCTGATGTTGCTCCTGTGTATAGCAAAAGGTGGAAACAATTTAAGTTACCAGAACAGCTGTGTTTAACAAGTACTGAAGCACTGAAGTTTAGACTGCATTTACTGGTGTGCTATTAGACTGCTTTCCTTGCATCTCTTCAGAGTCTCAGGCAGACTTGCAAAAAGCCACAGCAGAAAAACGAACTTCTCCTTTTTCACGTTCTGTAAATTGTCTGCAAATCTTGGCAGAATCCTTGGAAGGGAAAAAAAAACTGTTTAGACTATCAGAATACACTTGCTATAGAGACCAAGTCTTGCAGCTCCTGTGTAGGTCCCACCAAGTTACAAGATCTTGTAGCACCAGCTAATACATAAATTTAACAGATATCTAGCTCTGTGGCACAATTACTACCTTGTTACCATGATACAAGCAGCACCAACTCGTACAGCAAGTAGGTACAGCCACTATACACCAACCACATGCCTCTCACCCTTTCGTAAGCCTTGTTTTCAGGAAGAAGTCTTACCTTCAATAGCAAGTCATCAGAGCTTGTGCCATGGTTTACAGGAAATGGCATACGCCCATCTGTGAAAGAAAGTCCTATCACTCAGTGCACATAATATTCAGAACCGAGCACAATGGGCCCAAGAAACAAGTACACCCATGAAGCTACTTGGGAGGTCAGAACAAACTGTCAGTATGTAGCTTGAGTGAGAAGGGGACTGAGTTATTCTCAGCTCTACAGGAGATAACATGCTTTACAAGAGGGTCTATGCCTTCAGTGCAACCCACCTTCAGTTAAGAATCTTCAAGTGAAGGTACAAATGATGTATTGGCTTTGAGAGCCTCAGTGAGCAGCTTAACTAGCACCAGTGTCTAGCCCAAGCCCCCAATGCTGCTGTATAGTCAAAAGTAGGCCCAGTCCAACTGCAGAGTTCTCAAGACCTTACCCAGTTCATACAGATGTCCATCCACATTGACAAACAGGATGAAGTGAAAGTTCACGCTGTTGTCCTCAACCTTAAGAGAGACCATTAGAAAACTTTGTTAGACTGAAAGAAGCATAATACCACAAACCCTACTTGTGACTACAGGACAGAGGAGAGGTCAACAACAAAGCAACAGCAAAGGACTAAAAACTTAAGTTCAGCTGAAGACGTCTCTGCAAGACCTCTAAAAGATCAAGTGCCAGAAATATCCTAATGTACAGTCACATTTTCAGACTAGGTCTGAACCCAAATTTTCAATCCATGTTTGAAGAAACCCTGCACAAGCATTCACCTAAGTCACTCATTTCTCTTTCCTCAGGAGCTATAGCAGCTATCTGCCAGATAAAAAGACCCACCACCTGTATTGCTCTACCACCTTCGCTAACACCTTCTCCCAAAATTTTACACCATTCATATCTTACCTGACATTGTCCTTCTTGTGCAACCGAATTATGGACTTCTTGTATAGCCTTAAGAGAAAGCAGATACAGGTTACTACATCCTTAAGTGCTAACAGCTGTCAGCAGTTTGTATAGTTCATATACCTTATTATTTGCAAAATGCTTAGCTCGCTCTTCAGGAGACATATCAGCTGTTTCATCAAGAAACTTCTTCAGGGCAGACCCCTCATCTGCACAAGATGATCAAAGATTTTATTCAGTATAGGTAAAGCATCGCTTACAGTTCAGATGCAGCCCACAGTAATAAATGCTTGTGGTACTAATTAGGAGTCATTGCATTCAGCCTGGAACCATCTCCAGCATAAGCATATTGTAACTACCACTTAAGCTATTTATCCAGAAGCTATTAACAACACACACAAACAGTCCCAGTTCAAGTGCTTCAGAGTACTCCGGATGTTTGTCTTGGAACTCACTTTCAAATGGGATCTACCTTTTCTGATTCCCCCCTTGCAGTTTTGGCAAAGGTGTTCAGTCCTGTTTTGAAGAAATTTGAGAAAGGTACCAGCTGTAAGGACACTTAAGTATCAACTAACAGAATACGTGTAGATGAAATTAAGTTCTCACTGCCTTCAAATCAACACAGCACTTGCTCATGATAGGCTTACTTTGGTTTTCTAGAACATAAATTAGTAGTGCAGTACTAAGAGGCACTGAGTTCTAGTCTTACATGAAAGATGTGCTGCATCATTCCTTGCACTCATCAAGAGTGTGCCATTTCAGCAAATCCCTTCGACAAGAGTAAAGCGAAGCTACTCTCATTTAGCCTTCCGTATGTGTTTTCCTTTGTATAACAGGGAATCCCACAGGACCCAAAGGGTTCAAGTTCTCTTGGAACAATGAACGTCAAGTAGTATTTTGCAGATCTCTAGTCTTTGAATGATAAAATGTTTCCTGGACTCAATGACAACCCTTTTTTTGACAAAAACCTGTAATCCTATTTCCTAGGAGTTTCCAGCCACCAGTTGCCTAAGCCAGTTTTATATCCTTCTCTATAGGAAGAGAACCATCAAAACTATTACCTCCACAGGAAAAGTCTACTTACAGACCCTTATCATCCTACTTTCCCAGCAAAAAGAAAACATGTTTTAGACTGATTTACAGGGTACCCTGAGCAAGCCTGTTTACATTAGACATACATAAGTGGCAAGAAGAACTTTACCTCTTCAGTGGACATCAACACTACTGTCAATACCTACTTCTGAACGTGACACTTCCTGATTACAGACAGACTTTGGCCAGTCCTACTATGTGCCCTTTTCCTCTTGGATCACTCGAGGACGGTACCTCTGCAGCTACCAGACAAGAGTCAAAGTACCTTCCTTTCCACGATTCAGGCAGTAGGTGAGACCACATGCCCCTCTCCAAGAGCTGACTCACTTACCAACTGAAGCAGTACAGCATGCCTTCACTTGGCTTGCATGAAAGCCCCAGGTGTCTCTGACAGCCCACACCCACTCAATCTTCTTGTCATAAGAAAAATGGAAGTTCAAGCACTCCAGAACATTCATACTCACCAAGCTTCAGTTTGTCTTTATTATTAGCAACTGCATGGATCAGACCAATTGTCCCACAGGAGTTACTGACTGTCTGCTTCAGGAAATACACCTTGGAACTGATTTCTTGGTCCTTTATTTTCTCAGTCTGTTGTTTCCTGAAGTTCTCATGCTGTAAACATATAACCGTTTTAAGTATTTCACCAAAGTGGTATCTTTTTATTGTGCGAACTACTAAACAAATGAGTTGTGCAGCAGAATCAATTCCAGCCTTGGATAAAGATTTCCCAGACTGTCATCTTTGTGGCACAGGCCCAGTAAAGCATCATATGTCTATGCTGGATGCAGGCCAATTCTTAATGGACTACCTGCATGACTCAGTCATATCCAAAGGCACTGTTCGTAGCCTCTCCATCTGTTCTGTACACTGGAAATAGCTTGGGGTGGGAAATCATACGATGGATAGGCTATTCTATAGTCTCTCAATTGTTTTGGTCAATTTAATGAGATTACTCAGCATGTCTCTCCAATGCTTTGCCTTTGTACCTTTAGGTTACTTCCTTTCATGAACTCTCCCCATCAGAACAATGTACAGACAAGTGTAAAACCCAACACTACTGAAAGGCTGTAATCCTTCCTTTAAAGAACCTGTTAAATATACTTTATTTCAAAAGTCCACCTCCTCATCTAATTCCTTAGCATCAACTGGACTAAATGTATTAATCATACAGAATTTAGGCCTCTCCAGAGGCAGTGATTCAGCACAGTAACAAAATTGCTACTCCTCACACTCAAGACTGCTCATGTTATTTTTTCCTCAGTCTGATACACAAAGCAAAGCGTAAGAGGAATATTAGAATAAGAGTCCTTGTTTTGTTGCTGAGTTCATTTTAGTTCAGGCTATGTGGAGGCTGGAGCCAAGCACCCAGCACGTACGACCCACCACCCCCTTACAGCCCCAGCGCACGCCAGTCCCACTCCCGAGCATCTGATGCTGGCAGAG